GTTCCTACGTACTTTTCTTAAATAACACGTTTTTGCACTCTTTTTCTTTGCTTGTTCTTGCTTTTGAAATGTTTAACTTAGTTTACTCCATGTGTGTCTGTGGAAATGCGGCCGGAGACCTCTGTATGGAGGTGACAACAAACAGTGCAGTACGGAAGATAGAGTAGGAGAAGTGGAGGGTAAAGAGTACAAGAAGCTGTTGTTCCTCGTAAAAAATAAATAGAAAAGAAAATATACAAAAGAATAGCAAAAAACAATTAATTAAAGATGAAAATAAAAAGTAGAAAGATGTCACAAAAAATATGAGGAGCTTGAGTTGAGGCATGGATCAATCACTCTTTTTAGGACGTTTCGAAAGAAAAATTCTTTAAAAAAAAAAAAATGAGTTTACCTCATGAAAAACCTGTTAAGCTTGCTAATGATCTTAACATGCCTTTTCGTTTTTACGGTGAGCTTTTCAAAAGATAGAAAGGAAAAGTTTTCTATTATCTTATCTTGTTAAATTTGGCATATGTCCTCAATGAGGAAAATCCTATTAATTTGTCAACCGAAGGTATGAGTTCTCAGATCCTAATATGCTTATTAGCACATGCTTGAATGGTAGACTATTTATTTTAATGGCATGTGAATAAAAAAAAAAAGGAATATAGTGTTAACCCTATTACTTTCATATGTTGCTCTTGCAAATGAATATACATATTTTTATCATGACATGTTGGAGCTTAATGATATTATTAGTTTGTTTAATTTCCAATGGCTTGAAATATCATAAATGGAAATTGTTATGAATTTAATGCGTGCAGATGTGTGCTCCTTTTGCTGCTGTTGTACTCTTAATTCGTGAGATATTTTCAATAGTAAAAAGAAAAAAAGAGTAAAAAAAATTATCTAGCATGTGAAACTATTATGCCATGATGCAATCTTTAAGGAGTTGTATTTGCAGCTAATAAATTTCAACATGAATGTAATTTAACTCCAACGGCTAGTAAAATATTAAGTGCATTGGTTATGCCATTATGTGTAAAATATTTTTTATAATCATATATTTTGTTAGTTGATTATTTTTGCTCTCTGACAAATATTTAGTGAATGTTGTGTTGTCTTACTCATTTAGGAACCATGGAAAATGGTCTATGAAAATTTTGACCAAGTGAAAAGACTAAAGAAGAGAGCTACCCCATTTCGTCCATGCAACAATTTTGAAAAAAAAAATGGACTTGATATTTGGGTTGATATACTCCGGAAACGTAAGTTAAACCTTTAAGCTTACGTGACCGAGGAGCCATTTTGTGGCGATAAAATGTGAGATGAGCTGATATACTCTTATGGAAATTTTGTGAGAAAAATGAGTTTCTTCATGAACTCAATTATTTGAGAAATGTGAAAAATCACATATTTGAGATGCTCTTAATGTGGAGGATTATGATATCCCTATATATTATTATTGGTGATGAGACCAATGATGTCTAATTGAGATTTTGCATAGCATTCCTATTATACAATAAGGTATAATGGTGCTTAACAAAATAAATGTGATATGCATTCCTATTATACAATTATGGTATAATAGTGTATGATGAAAAAATAATAAGGCACTTGAGAAAAGGGGTATGTGATGGACATTCCTATTATACAACAAGGTACAATGGTGATATGAGGAGCTTGAGCTGAGGCATGGATCAATCACTCTCTTTAGGACGTTTCATGCCACTGATGCAGTAGATTTTTATGGTCACGCCGCCCCCAGAATACAATAGCCCAACCTCCTTGTTGTATCTTTACAAGTACTGCACTCTTGTAAAGAAAGCTCAACCCCACCACCTTTTCCTTTGCCTAAAGAGAGTTTGAATGCTATAGTTTTTCTTCTTTTTTTTTTGAATAGGAGTGCAGATTATATAAAAAGAAAAAATCAGCCATGGAACAGACGGAGGTTGCCTTTTTATAGGCTTTCACACAATGTAACCGAGGAGACAAAATATTAAATTGGAATGAATTTTTTTTTTTTTCGGTTATCAAAATAATATTTGAAATAGATGTACTAACATATTGAATAGCAGAAACGCATAATTCTTTGCAATAAGACAAAAAACGCATGGGTTCTTTCTTGAATGGATTCAAGAAACCTGAAACGGAAATAATTCTTTAAATAAATGGCTGGAATTGATTTTGAAAATAATGGATTTGTAATTTTTTAATTAAAATCTCCAACAGAAGCCTATGCAACAAGCAGAGGATTGTAGAGCAGAGAGATGCAAGGATTCCAGCGGTAAATACAGACTCCCTGGTGAGCTTGGAGGAATATGGAATCTCGCAAAGTATGATGAAGTGAATCAAGGAGCGGGTTCCGTGTCTGCTCTCACAGGAGAAAATTCACTCAAAAAGGCTGGTTTTAGGAGGATGTTAAGAGATGTACAAGGCCATTGCGGAGCTGGGAATGGCGGGGTTGCTAATGTTTCAACTGGGGTTGGTCAAGGATTCGAGACTTGTATTGGGGAAGAAGCGTCATTGTGGAAGATTCAGAAGAAGAAGAGGGAGATGATAACGAAGGAGCAGCTGAGTTCAATGCTTGGGTTCTTTCAGAGTTTGGTGAAGCAGGTGATGGATCATCAAGAGTTTCTTCATAGAAAATTATTGGAAGTGATTGAAAGAATGGATAAAGAGAGGGCACAAAAAGAGGAAGAATGGAGGCGTCAAGAGACTGCAAAGCATGATAGGGAAGCCCTTGCAAGAGCACATGAACAGGCTATGGCTTCCAAAAGAGCTCTCATTGCTTCATATTTGGAGAAAATCACAGGCCATAGCATCAATATTCCTGAAAGGACTCCAATGTTGCTACCAGAAGGTGAAATAGAACTCAGAAATGAATTGGGTCCTGCTGAGGTTGATGCTAATACTAGGTGGCCTAGGGCTGAAGTGGAAGCCCCTGTTCGAGTTAGAAGGGCATTGGAAACAAAATTTCAGGAACCTGGGTTAAAGGGATTTCTTCGGGAAGAAGTGAGCTCTGTCATGGCTTCGAAGGATTACAATAGTAGTGCCAAAAGGTGCAAAGGAAATGGGAGAACTTAAACTAGTATTTCAGGAAGAGCAAAGAGAGTGGGAAATTAAAAACATTCTCAGCAGTCTAAAACCTGCACTTTTTAGAACAACCATTGTTTGTCCTCCTCCATCTAGTTCTTTGATTAAGTAATAGTAGTAATGTTGAGGCACAAAGACAAATTGATTCAAAGTTTTTAGAACCTTTCATTTCTGGTAGTCGATAGAGACCTTGAAATTCCACCACTTAACTTCTGGCTTCAAGGTTTCTGAAGTGAATCCACCAAGATTGGATTTTGAGGGCTTTAAGCAAAGGAAAGCCACGATGATGACAATGGAGAGCAGACACTGATCAGGTAATATTTCTTCCCAAATTCTAGTTCATCTCTAAGAGGCTGTGGTGTTGGATTTCTTTGTATGCTCACATACATATTTTGAGCTTGAGGTCAAATTAATCCAATTTGAATACCATCTAAAGCTTTAGATAAAAATTGAAAGGAAAATTTGCCTTTCTTCCGACTTCCGTTGGTTCTCTAATTCATTGATAGTAAGAAATTGAGTCTGAATAGCTGAAAATGCCAAGAATTTCCTCATCATCTCAAGCAAATGATATGTGTTATGAAAAAGGCAACGGTGCATGCAAAACACACGAGTACGTGTGGGGTGGGACCTGCTTGCATGGCGACATGGCAGGGCACGAGGGAGATAGATAGAGCAGAGCAGGCTCTCTCTTCCTTCCATTATAGAATTTGTAAACCGTGCAGATATCACACAACTGCTGAGATGACATCACTCGTACAATCCTGCACGGTGAGATGACCTTTATTCACTTTCACATGCTACAAATCTGATTTTTAGTAAAACACTCTTCTTGTCCCCTTCGTTGCCCTGCACTGCACCATGCGCAGTATGCACACACTTACTATTAACGAAAAAGGTTTAATAAGAACACAAATCTGTGGGTGCCCAAATAATTTAATCGTAATATTTTTTATAAAATTAAAAAATATTAAATTTAAATCACATAATATATAAATAAGATAAATTAAAACATAAAAAAAAAATTAATCAAAAGAACACAAACTTACACAAGTGAGATCTCTGGGTCCGGTTATATGCTTGGTTGGGCCGACATTTAATCCGACGGTGTTTTTGATTTGCTTAAGGATTTAGAGTCATCTCTCTCTCTCTCTCTCTCTCATCAATTTGAAGATAGAGAATGATGAGCTATGAACTGCATT